GCTAGGCATTATTTATCTCTCTCATTGTCTCACCCCTCCATCATGGCTTTCCCACTTAAGGTGCCCCCATTTCCCCCCTTTTTCCCTTAATCCCTTCTCCTATGGTCCTACCTCTCTTGAGCTCCTTCTTTCCCTTTATCCCCTAGGTTCCTTATATACCCTTCCCTCCTCCCCAGACCAAAATTCTATACCAAGCCAAATTGTTAATTAAGTGGGAAAGTAGGACAAACACATTTTCAGATACACAAAATATCATTACATTTACTTTTGACAAATGTACCACCAAGGCAGAAAGTAAATCAAGAAAGACAAATACATGGAGCTCAGGAAACAGAAGTTCTAGCTCAAGGTGACTGCTGTTCACCAGATGAGAGTATGATTTGTTCAGATTAGAGTAGGCTTGAGGATGTGTCTAAGGACAGTGTGCATTTCATGTCTCTTTCTGGAGTGAACAGACAGACACTGAGAAAAGCCATGGAGCCTCGCTTTAAGACCCCTACCTGTTTCACTTTCTTTCTGTTCCTGTGGTAAAATACTCAGACCAAAAAGAAAAAAAATAGAAATTTAGGGGAGAAAAGGGTTTACTTCATCTTACAGTTCCAGGTAATAGTCTATCACCCTGGGGACGTCAAAGCAGGGACTTTGAACAGCTGGTCACATCATCTCCATAGTCAACAGCAGAGAGAAAAGACTGCACACAGTTGCTTGCGTCAGCTCAATTTCTCAACTCTTACGTAGTTAACGACCCCCTGCCTAGTGAATGGTGCCAACCCAGTGGTCTGGGTCTTCCCACATCAACTCATTTAAGAAAATCTTCCATAGATATACCAACAGGCCAACCCAATGTCAAAATCTTTCATTTAGACTCTCTCCCAGGTTGTGTCAAGTTGACAATTAAAGCTAACCATCACACTAAGTATATGGGCAAAACTGAAAGCTGATACAGTGAAGATGTATGTTTTTGTTGTTGTTGTGACTTCATTTTATAAATGAGTAAGATAGGTAACTTATCCAAGGTTAGATCTGAGTGCAGATTGTTTGAATCACAAATAATGTTAACATGGCAATTTATTTTTTGTTGTTGTGGTTGTTGTCTTTTGATTTTGTCTATTTATTTATTTTTAACCTATTGAGTTCAATTAGTGCTGTTCATAAGCATATGGGTATGTGGTTATCCACTAAGGCATTCCCCCTCTTGAAAGAAGTGACTCTCCAATATAGTAACCATCAACTTGCTAATAGCTCCTAAGCTAGAGGTGGGGCCTCAGTAGCTCTCTCACATCCATGTTGAAATTTTTAACTGACTTGATCTTGTGCAGGTCTTGTGCAGATAACCACAGCTGTTGTGAGTTCATGTGTGAGAGTGGTCTTTCTCTTAATCATCCTCACAAGAACTTTCTGACTTCCTTCTAGTATAGAATAAAATCAAATCTGCTTGAATAAGGAGAGCACACAGACACATACACACCCACACCCACAGCCATGAGCACGTATACACACACACGTGCACACACACACACACACACGTATAGTGATATAGTGTGTCTATGGAAAAGTTTAGATCAGAGTGGTGTGGCTAGAGAAAAGGGAATGAGAGGTTATTTCATTCCTTTGGGTGTTTTGGACAGAGAGCAGTGAGGAAGACAGGAGACTGATCAGTGTGATGGTGATATTTATGTTAGAATATGAGCAGACAAGGGCCTGAATAAGAAAAGAAAGGGTGGGGCCTGAGCTGAAGGAATGCTTGCTTGGCCTGGTGATCAGAGGAAGTATGGAAGTGGGTGCTGAAGGAAAGGTCGGAGAGCGGGTATCAGAGATGACTCAGCTTTCAAACTTGTGGTAACAAATGTGAGGATACTGTGTGGGTGCAACTGGTTTCAGAATGCCAGAGGGAGGAAGGGTGGTTGCGAAAGAATAGCAACAAATGGCAGGGTGGAGGGGGAGGAGTGGAAGGACAGCAAATAGGCTCTACTTTCCCTCTGACCAAAATTTCACTTCCACTGCTCTCATCATGTACCTCAGTCACAGCTTCTGTCTCTGGAGTCACCACCTCTGGGGGCTGAGGTAATGCAGCCCAAGACGTGGCATAGACAGTCTGGACCAACAAAATGCTGTCTCTTCTACAGCCAGAAAGGATAGGAAAGTGTGGAGTCTGCGTGTTTAGGGGGAGGGGCTTCACAAAACCTTCCCCAGCTCTACAGCTTTCGAAGTTAACAGTGTTCAGTAAAGTACTTAGACAGCTCTGTGCTTAGATTTTCTCTCGAGCAAAATGGGCATAATATCCCATTTGCTGCCTTTCAGGTCACTGTGAGGATTCAGTGGGACAATGAGTTCGAAGATTTAGAAGAGTCCAGCACATAACAGGTGTGGTAGCTAGTATATTATTGTACTCAATAACCTCCTTCAATACTTTTGTGTTTTCTTTCCCTCAGACTTGGTACACAGCAGGTCTAAAAAATTTTAAATGCAAAAGAGGGAGTGTTTTCACCAAGGGATGCTTCATTCAGTCTCCACACTAAAATGTTTTAGGCGCTGTCTTCATTGTGTGGGGTCCATTGGTGAAGAAGCTAAACAGCTAAATTCACAGAGACCAGACAGCTTTTCTATTCTAGAATATTCTGGGCTCTTCTCACATTATTTTAAAATAACACACATAATATTTTTATATTACTATTTTATAATCAAGATAGTTTCAAAGAAGTACTTTTACAGTAAACTTTTTAAAAATGTATATAAAAGCACACAATTTAAAATTAGCCTAATATGAAAGGTTATAAACTTTTATATTATATTGAGGTTCCCTAGTTGTGCTCAGAAAGTTACTTTTACTCAATTTTTAAAATTGTTTCATTACCGAGATATACATATAGGCAAGCATAAGCCTGGTTTCTTATACAAAGGGTAGAGAAGAGAGGAAAAGAGAATTTGGGGTGAGTTGGAGACTTCCAGCCATGGAGGTGTCAAGGGTTAGTGGGAAGATCAGACTATAAGGCTGTTGATGTGGAAGCAGAACATGTAGACTAAAATAGATATAATTAAACTTTATTGAAATCTACTCCATACAGAACTTGTCCTAAGAGTCTAACACAGGCAGGGATGTAAAAACAATCATATTATAGGATGAGCCTTACTAGCACAGCAGTCCACAGCCCTCCAGGGCCTTTATGTAAAAAAAAAAAAAATTGCAGCTTGGGCCTCCCAAAGTTCTCTTTAGGTCTGGACTGAGATTGCTCCATCCCTCGTTGACACCTCCAGATGTCCTACCTCTTTTCTGTGAGGCTGTTTCTCTCTTAGACCCAGCTTTCCCGTCATTGCCTTGAATGTTAACTGTGGTTAGCCCTGCTCTGGGCCAATCCATATTCACCGGGACATCTGCAGCCTGTTAGCCTCAGAGCACTGCACATCTTGCTCTTCCCAATTTCATTCAAACTGAGCTGAAACAATCCTAGACCTCCTTCCCCAAATTTCATCAAGATGATAGCTTTCCTTCCCAGTTCTGCTTCCTGCCAGATGGAGCTTCATGATAGTTTGGGTGTCATCAAAACCCCTACTAACTCCCAAGGCAGCTGTTGCCTACATCCATTTGGACACACTCTCCACTGTGGCTTCTTGACCTGTCAAAGGACCAGGTAAATCAATCTTTCCATGCACATCTGTTGGTTGAACTGTTGATTTTGATGTTTTAAGTGTCTTGCTCTCTTGTCCTTTCACAGCTGCCCCAGACCATTACTGGAGTTCCCTTTCCTCACCAAGGGAAGTAGTACTCAGGAAATAGAGCACGTTTTGCTTTCTTCAGTGCTCCCTGTCAAGGCTTGTTCATCTCTGGTTGGGCAGGTGGACGCTCCCAATATCAGCAACAACCCAGAGAGGACTGATTCCTGAATCCAGGGCTGGTTCCACCTCTGTGTCTTCTGATCACCAATAATTGAGAATTCTGTGCTCACTGTCACCTGTATACTACCTACGTCATTGTATTCTTTACTGATCTGGACAGAGGGACAATTGTTCCTTATAAACAGTAGACTAGGTCTTTCTTTACAGCATAATAATTGTACTATTATAGTATACATTTTCTTATATTTTAAGATATTTATATGAACATGATAACACCATCAAATACACCACTCCTACCCTGAATGAAGAGGTAGTTGTTCCAAGTATACAGGATGAAATGAGGTAACATCTTAGAATTCAAGACAGTATTCTCACAATAAGGAGTTCCGTATAAAAACACATTATGAGAAATTAAGAGATGAATCCAATCTGAAGCAGGAGAGGTTGATCCTAAATGTTATTCCTCAGCAAGGAACCATTTCAGTGGGCTTGGCCCATGAGGGTGCTCTGAGTTCAAAGAAGGAAGACAGAGAATTAGTCTGCTCCTGGCATAGGGAACAGGGCTGGTGTGATGGGGGACTATTCCACCTAGAGGGAGTCTTGGAGCCCCCACCCATTCCTAATGGTTATATTCTCTTATCTTCTGATAGAAGTCAAAGAGGTTGCCCAAAAACTTGGAAAGAAAAAGGGATAAAAAATGGACACTATTTTTGTTCTTTAATTAATTATGTGTGGTACTCGGGTCGCCTGAGGATGTTTTTGAACTGTGAACAACACACTGCACTTCTTCATTCATTCTTTCAGGCACATAGATTTTCACTCTGGAAAAAACAAAACAAAATAGAAAAAGAGACCAGGTGAGATTTCACAGTGGGACCACTTTCTTTCTGTTAGATCTCAATCATAAGGCAGATGTAGGAGACGGTTGTACTATGAAAGAATAGAAACAAATTATTGGAGAGAAAGAGGAGAAGATGGAAGAATACTGGCTTGCACTGTTATCCAAGCTTCCTTTAACAACTACTCTTGCTTCTGCCTGGCCTTGGTCCTCACCCTGCCTTGTGCTGACTCCTGATGCCTTCCCTCTGCAGGTAGTTCCAGAACATTTCTGAACCTAGTCTTGCAGAGCCAACAGCACCTCAGCATCTTGTCTCTCTATCCAGAATGCCTGAAATTAGTCTAGCTGCTATTACTTGACAAGTCCTGGGCTTTCTTATGGCTTCTGCATCCCAGGGCCATGACCCTCTCTGCAGCCAGGCTTTCAACAGGGTGATTCCAATCCCATGACCAGGCTGCTAGAGCCTGGGTATTCTTGTGCTCCCAGTTCTTCAGTGGTGATAGAAGAACAATCTAACTGTCATGTTGTGGCAGGACTGGTCACAAGGAACTTTCAGGTATGTCTGACATTGTACTGGGTCCTGGGATTGACAGCACAATGATGCTTTTAACTGCTGTGGTCTGCACTCTGTAGAGTTTAGTCAATAAGTTCATGAGATAATTTCACAGATATATAAGCATTATCTGCACTCATGAAGAAAAAAATCCAAGGATCTATATGATGTTGTAACAGGTGGCTATGATTAAGTTTGAGGAAGGGTTTTTAAGAACGTGCTGCTTGAGGCAGAAGCTGAAGAATGTGGGGAAGAAATGTCAGAGGAACCTTCCAAGTAGTGGGCACAGCAGGTGCAAAGGCACTGATCCTGAAACACATTATTACTCCTCAATCCTTCATTCACTTATTCCATATGTGCAAGATGCCCATTATTTCACTGCTAGGTGCTGAGGTTACTGTGATGAATGACATGTGGGCTCTGCCTGCCACATCACAGCCCTGTGTATTTTTGCTTGACTAAGACTTGACTTGCTGAACCCTCTGGGCACTGTGTGTTAGCTACTGCCATCTGCTTACAGCCAGGCTGCTTCCTCCCATGCCCTCGATTGTCTTGCTTTCTTTGCCCTCCCCATTAGTTTCTTGCTTGTCTGTCTGTCTGTCTGTCTGTTCTCAGCCTGCCCCAGGCTCAAGCCTGTGCATGTTACAGACACTCTGGGGATCAAACCACTTTCAATAATGTTGCAGAATCAGGACTCACTTTTCCTCAGTCTGTTTACTTTCTTCACTCTCCGTTTTGGTGGTTTCTGAAAGAGATCAAAAACAACTTCAGAAACTGTATTCCTTATAGAAATGACGAGAGGATGCAAAGAGGCTTCAGAGTCCTAGGACTCAGAAAGAAATATGACTTTGTACTTGAAAGAGGTGGCTATTTCATCGATGCAATTTCAGGGGGGCTGGGAAGGAGTTCTTTGCATTCCAAAAGTAAAAGTCTTCTTTTGATGACTGTGTTCTAATATTGAACATAGGCTTCCCTCCCCCCAACACCACACAGCTGTATCCTTGTTGAAATAAAAATAACACTGGGAGGGGAACCACATTTAGTTTTAGCAGTTACTTAGTCAAAAAAGTTTCCATTGGGTTTTTTGTTTTGCTTTTTCTGTTTTTTTTTTTTTTTTTTTTTTTTTTTTTTTTTTTTTTTTTTAAGAGGGGGT